GGAACAATATTTCGTCCTCTGGAGGACGCGTGGTCAATGGTTTAACAGCTATAAGGCATGCAATACACAAGAGTACCCCTCCCCCCCCCCCGCTGCCTGGGAGTCGCATGGTCATGCTGTTGGCTAGTGGCCGAACTTCATGGAATCACCGCCAACATTCCAACCCCGCTTTCGTAGCTTCGCTTACGCCAAATCGAACGCCTCGAGCAGTCAGCACCAGCCCCAAACCTGCACACATAACACACACACACGAGGCTGACAGCGGGGAGCCAGCCCACTGACGAAAAACATGTCGTGTTCGCCTTTTGTTTACTACGCTGTAAGACTTGGGCTTCTTTTCCATTGATCAGTCCACTATAATCGAGCGGTCGATGCCAAAACAGAGCAACCTATACACACGCACGTACTAGCCTCCCACACGCCCAATCACGGAGCCCCCACAAGCGTTTTCCTATTTTGGCGGCACTATTTGATACTGACGTCTTTTCACTGGTCAGCCCGTTCGCGCGGTCGATGCCAACCAAATAAACACACACACCACACATAAGCAGGGGGCCCACGACAACTAAACCACAGACCACCGCACCCACCTTAACCAGGGTCTCCGCCACCGTCATCGGGTCCGCGGGGATAGCCTTAAAGTCGATGTCGTCCATGGGGTTAACCTCTCGCGGAGGTGCCGGTACTGGTGCCGCCGGCGGCGGCGGCGGTGGCGGCAGCGGCGGCGAAGGCTGTCTCTCCTCCGGCGAGAGCGCCCCTCTCTCTCCCCCCTTTCCACCGCCGCCCTCCCCGGCTTGACCATCACCCCCTCGTTCGGCATGGGATTCTTCTGTGGGATGCCGACTTCGCTCCGTCTCTACTTCTGTCTTTCGGAGATCCGGGTTTGCGGCTTCAACGGCGGGTTTTTCTGTCGCCTTGTCTCTATCCTCCTCCTCTAGCTGCTGCTGTTGTCCCAGAGCGAGGGACTTATCCATCCTGGCGAAGAAGTTGTCGCTGGCTTGCATGAAGGGCAGCAGAAATGCTCTCCTGACGTTGTGTTGGTGGTGGCGATGGTGGGAAATAGAACGGTCAACGAGAAAAGCCAGGCAGGGGCGGGGTGAGTCGTCGTCGTCATGACGGCTGAGGGACTCGAGAGAATATCTTAGCTTAAAAGTACACTTCTCAAAGCAAAAGACGATCAAAAAGCAATACCATCTCTTAGATTCCGCGTACACTGCGGTCTGTCGTGCACCTGGCCACCAAAATAAGGGAACTATGGTCACGTTGGAGGGCGAGGGACGAAAAATCATTTCACCCCCCAAACCAGAGCCCCCCCCGCGAAATCGCACATTTTCACCCCCATGCCCCACCCTCCCACCCTGTCGTGAAGCACCAGCCTGCAAATCTCCAACCTCAAAAAGCTTGTCTCGCAGCAACAGCAACAGCATCACCACCGCCGACACACACCAATGCTCACCCCCACCACGACTCCCACCGCCACCACCACGTCAACAAAAAAACATATTAGGAACAATGAATAAAAATACTTCGTGTTACATATCTACGTTGGAGAGAAATCACACCTACCAATCCTATGCATGCAACAAAAAAACAAAGTGTACATGTATACCTCTTGGAGAGAAACTCGTTTCGTTTTCGAGCTACTTCCTCCATCGTCGCCCGCATCTTCCTGTTCGCTTCCGCGGCCTCCCCTCTACCCCCCGTTGCCCTGGGCGCAGCAGGCTTTCGACCCGTACCGGAAGGTTTCCGTCCCGTCTTGGCCTGTTTTATTTATTTTTTTACGGAAAAAGCGAGCGCGTGGGCAAACACCGGGTCAGCGACGCTGCCGAGGAAGCGCGCCAGGGTTTGTCTCCTCCTCGAGCATACATGGTTCGCTACGCTAAGCATTGTTGGGTTTGGGTTTGATCAGGTATCGCGCGTCCTGGACCGATTTTCAGGGCTCGCTCGAGTACTCCGCAACACAACACAAACCGTGGCTGTCCCGAAAACGATGTCGTTGGAACCGTCTACCCGAGAGCTTTCCCACAACGTACCGTTTGATTTACTGCTGTACTTCCATTATACAACCTCTTCATCGTGGAGGAATGGGGCGTTGGAAAATCGCTCCAGGGTTTTTGATGTTCGATGTTAGCTACGGGCGGTAGTTTGTTGTAGTGCAACGGAGACTGTAGTCGAGCTCCCTCCCAGCAATCACTTAACTTTTGAAGGCGCTGCTCTACCAACGAGCGGGCTTCGTTCTTGTCTATGTATCAGTACGCGAACAACACGACGTCCCCTGGGCAGCGCCCAATACGGCCAGCGGCCGTTCGCTCCGTTGTGAGTATGTCCGCACGTATGTTTCGAAGTGCAATCGGCGCGCTACATAATATCGTGGCCAAATTGTTTGCACGGCCGTCCCAAAACGACTTGTCTCGTGCCAGACCTCTCTGTACCTTGTGCGCTGTCACAACCCTATCACCAACCAACTCCCTAAACGACCGGGATGTGCAAGGGCATAAGGCGGTAGCAGCCAACAAACCGCATCAGCGTAGAGCAGCCAGTCGGTCAGCCAACGCACCTCCTCCTGTTCTCACCTGCGGACCGAAAAATACATCCCAACTCATAGTATATCGGCCAAAAACAGTGCCAGAGACCGTCTGAATAGGCGAAGGAAGCCCCCTCCCCCCCCCCCCCATCTTCCTCGCTATCACCTGTGGGGTTAGCACAGCAGGAGTGCTCCCTCCCTTCCGCCGTGGCTCCTCCTTCGCGCTAGCCTTCTCGTCCGCGACGCACTTCGGAAACAGGCGGTACGAGTGCTTGACCTTCTCCACCACCCCCTCGGACACGAGTTTCATCACGGCCTGCCCAGGGATTTTGGTTGAAAAACGGCCGGAAGAGGACCGAAAAAAAAAAACAGGGTTAAAAAGGCTGACCGCACACAATCGGGACACGATGTTCGTCAAAGCTTTGCTAGGAGATGGTTGAATCCGACACTACTGTACTGCCGAACGAAGAAAACAAGAAACTAGATATGCTACGTACACTAGACCAAAAGCATCGGCAATTATTCGGAACCCGCCATTTGGTTCAACGGCTCGCGAAAACGCCTCCTCGGTAGTAGAGAATTCGAAGGGGCCACGTGTGCACACACCTACGGGATATGTAAGTATATCGATGGCAGATGATGCCGATCCCCGTGAGGGGTAGAGGGCCTGGAAGCCCAGTTGCATCAGCTTTTGCGGTGTTATCGGAAATGCTTCAACAGAAAAGGCTCGTTCGAGGTCTTACCGCACGGTCCAAGCACAACGACCAACTCAGAGTTGGCAAATCTAGATGGCACGCGATAGCGAGGAGCCCTGTGTACGCTGCAGCAGCGCCGACAGCTGCTTGTGCCTTCGGGTACCAAGGGTCGAACCTGCACCTATGTATGCACTTCATTGCTGCAGCAAGCGATCAACACATGCTCTGCAGCCCGAAAAATCAAGCAAGTGGTTGCCGACACCGAAATACCTAACTGTTCTGACAGGAGGCCACCATCGGTGATTAATCCTGCGCCGTTTGACGTCTACTGAACAGAGAAGATTTTGTCTTTTTCTAAACTTGTTGTCTGTAACAAGAACAGCATGCAAGAAAATAATGTCGAGTGGCACCAGCAGTAACTTACCTTGATGGTGAGATTGTTGAAGCTGGCCTTCTGCTTCTCCTTCGTCTCGGGGTGCTTGTCCTGGATCCACTTGCGGATGGAGGGTAGAGATACCCCGCTCTTTTCGTTGAGCGCGCTGATAGACTGCCGCACGAGAGCAGCAGAAAAGACAGACAAATAATTATATGAATAGTACCAATAAACAAATACCGGTTGTACAGCAGTAGGAGGCCCTCAGGAGTGTCGGCATGGACCAGACCACGATCCCGGCACCATTCAGAAGGACCCGTACCATTCAACGTACCGAATGACTTGTGATTCAGTCGGTGCCCGCCCAGAACACCGGCACTACACCGGCCGTCGGCACGATTCAAACCGGCGCTGCTGAGGGCCCCTGTCTGTACACTCGGAGGAGAGACACTTGCTCATGCGAGCTTGGGAGGGCACCACAAAACCTATTGCTGGCACGCTATTCAAGACCATGTGTGCGAGCATGCCAAACCCGCTTGTTGCGTGTGTGAGGGCATGACGAAACCCATCGCTGACACGCTATTTGTAATCGCCTCCCGCATGTGTGCGCGTGGATGCCATCCCACTTGCTTGTGCATACTGCACGACAATCCATGCATTGCAGACGACATGACATGCTAGTCTCCGTCTCCGCCTTAAGAAGGTGGTGTCTGTATGCCATCCCAAGATGCTGGAAATGAGATGTTACACCCGTGTCTTGGGTTTGACATCATACTTCGCAAGTACAAATTGCGAGGCGTTTCTTTTTCGGTGTTTTTCGGCGCACCCCATGCAAGCTGTTGCTCAGCGGGATGCTGATAATTTCTCTGTTCGCGTTGCAGGGAACAGAGGACGCGCAGCACAGCAGCACGTTTTCGCACCACAGTACATCACCCGACACAGACTGGGTGACAACCAAAAACACCGGGCAAAGAGAGTTGATTGCAGCACCTCGATGTTTGTACAGCAAAATCCGGTATACTTGTCGACGCGAGTTTTTCCGTACAATATCGACCTCAAACTCCTCGCGATGGCGACAGAAAGGCCGTCATGTGCGCGTCTGCTCAAACACTTCAGGAAACGTTACATACTCGCCCACGCACGAAGTGCTTACCACCAGTACGTGAACACGGACGGACGGACCGTGGGGCAACTCGTCGTTGTCGGTGCCGAACAAAATGTTTCCGAGGACGACACATAATTATTCCACACCCTGAGAGAGCTACAATCGAAGATGTAACGCCCCTCTCTTGCGTACACAGCAGCACACACGTGCATCCTTCCTTTCAGTAGGCTGCCACTGGCGTGGAGGAGACGGCACTGCAGCGTCTACCTGCTGTGAGTGTACCGCAGCACCTTTGCCCTTCTTTGCGAGAAAAACCTGAGCTCGCAGGAAACTCTTCTCCCCCTCTCCCTCCGGAAAGTAGTTCAACGCGTCCGTCCCACTTTGAATCCCGAGAGCGGGCAATCCTTGCGTGACGTCATACTAAGGTGCGCTTCGTACGAAAGGGCCACCGGCTCAAGACAGAGCATTACTCGAGCGGATGTGATGGAAGTCAGCTACATGTCACACACCAGATGGTCAGCGACGCTGCCCGAGAGGCCCAGCATCAATAACCGGGTAGGAAGCAAGGTCTCCAGTCACTCACAGAACAGTGCCGCCCCACAGATAGATACCCTTCCCTCTTTTCAAACACAAAACTTTCCCGACATCATTCCCCCTGAGAGTTCGTCCGCACTTGAAACTCACCTCCAGCACCATTGTCAGGTACTTGGACTTTCTCCCCGTTGGAGTGGTCGCGCCCCCTCCGGACTGCGATGATTCGCCAACCGCCTTCTTAGCTTCTGCTGCCCCCGGCTCGCCGCCTTCGGTTGCTCGCTCAATCTCCCACTTTTTCGGGGGGCGGAAGGCGAGCAAGGGCGCGACCCAGGCGAAACAGAAACAAGAGCGGAGGGGGAGAAGGCGAAGCCGGCGCGTTTGAAGTTTGGCTCTTTCTGGGGTTTGGTGCCGCGTTCCTGTTGTGCGGCCAAAACAAACACCCCTTCGATGCAAAACGCTGCAGCACGGAGAGGGATGGGACATGCCGGATGCCCACTCGCCGCTCCAGCCTACCGCCGGCTAGAAGTTGCGGACTCCTTGACAACGGGGTGAACTTCTTGATTTGCTGCTATTAATAGCAGCTTCACACCCGAAAGTCCGAAAGCAGTCCGTCCGTTGTATGGTATGTTGTACGGCGGTACATATCTGCGCATCTGCCGACACGCCGACATGCGAAAAAAAAAAAATGCACCTGTTCTGAACCCGATTCCAGGTCCTCGATGTACACATCCGTGTCCACGCCGTCGTAGATGAGCTGGTGCTTCGCTGTGGCCGAGTCGTAGCTGCGACCGCCATCACGTCAGGGTATGTGGGGTCGGGGTCGGGAGGCAGAAGAGCGTCGAGGGGGGGGGGGAGCTTTGGGTGTGTCGTCCATGTACACACACACACACGCCGCAGCAGCAACGAGGTGGTGGTGACACATGACCGTTTGTCTCTTTTTTCTGATTTTTTTTTTTATCCAACAGCGACGAAAAAGGCGACACGCTTTCCTCCCTGCGCATGGAGAGGCTTGCTTCGGTAGAGAGGACAGAAGGGGCTGAGAGGGGGCGGATATCACACATCAAGAGCTCCGGCAAGTCGGCGGCCGAAACGAGGGCGAACCGGTCGGGGCTGTGTGTGTCGGCACGTGATAGAAGCCAGCGGGGTTTCATCACCCAACAACTCGCCGCCGCCTGCTGCTGCTGCGGTTTGAACACAGGTTGCTCCCTCTCATATTTTCGTGCGCGTCGTGTCTCGTGTTGCTGGAAGAACACAGGCAGCTACACCGAAACCCTTCAGAATTAACGGCCTTTTGGCCTCTACCGCGTGGGGACAGCAGGTACCCAACCCCTCCGTGGGCGGGAGACAGACTCCCGTCACAAGCTTTTCGCTCACCCCTGTTTGCTTACATCGAACAGACCGTCTCGCTCTCTCTCTCTTCTGTTTCTCCACCAACGACATTTTCCGCTGCTGTCTCACACTCGCACATACGTGCCCACTCACCCTACGACCTTCCCTTCGTACCACACCATGTCTCCATCCCACCAGATGCGGATTCGGCTGCCAATGAGAGCTGCTCCGCGCTCCTCCTCCTTCGCCTCCTCCCAGAGAACTTCCACCATCTTCGCCTAAAACTCTAAAAATCAACAACGTCGCCGTGTTCAAAAACCGGGAGCGAGAGGGCCCGTCTTCCCCTGCGTGTTTGCCGAAAGCACAGCCGGGGGCGAGCCTCCGAACGCCAGGAGAAGCGGCGCCACGCTGGCGGTGTTGATGGAAGCAAGTGCTTGGTCTGACCCCTGTGTGCTTCTCGGCAGCAAGAGAGCGCGGTTTGAAGAGTCCGAGCACACACCACACTACTTGCTTGGAGGAGACAATTGGAGACAACGGGCGGGGGCACCACAACCAGGAATTTACGTGATGCCCCTGCTGGCGGTATCATTTCAGCATTTGTCCTGCACATTACATCATTTGCTCCGCCGTTGCCGCGTGGCGGTGCACAGGTTGCTGTTGCAGGGCTTACGAGAGGAAAGTGTGGTGCTGCTTGAGAGAGACAGGATGGGCGTTGCGCACTCCTCCCAGGGGCTCACCTGCCTGGAGAATCCGCCGAAAAAGTGAGTCCCAGGTCCCAGAAAACACACACGCATGATGCGGGCCAACTAAATAAGGATTGCTTGGGCGTTGGAGGCAGCTGCTGCACCGCGTCTCCTGTGTTGGAAGCGATGAAGCCCGTATGCTAGAGTGTACGCGACGAACGTTGTGTGCTGCTATGGTGATCGGTTTAGATAAAGGAGGGCGCTTAGATGTGGGGTGTCCAAGCGCGTTTGACGCATATGCATAGCTCAAGTTGAAAATGATGTCCCAAAAACGCTAAATGCAGCTCGAAGACTATACCTACAAGTACAAGCGGTTAGTCGAGTCTCGTCTGCCGCTGCTGTGTAACATGGTCGACAGCGGCGGATCATTTTACCGTTTTACCATGAGTGGATATTAAGAGGGTACTGAGTACTGAGCGGAGACCGGAACGGTTATTAATGTGAAGACCACACCAACAACAATAAAACAACCAATTTTAATTTTTCTCGTCGGTCTGCGGGAGGTCTTGCCTTCAACCTAACTGATGCTAGGATTTCATGGTGCATGAATGTCTATCAGGAAGTCGAAGCGATGGTAGGTGGATAGGTACATATGTATCGTGTTTTGCGTATGTTAAGTATGCTGCAGCAAATATCACACATCCAGTAGTCCTCTCGCAACAGGAGTCTCTGCCTGGCGTGCACCGGACTATTCATGCACCCGTAGACCATAGCAATCCAACAACCCCAAGCCTCGTCGTGGCAAAAGTCCTGAGTTCACCCGGCAAGTGAGCCACCTCGACGTCCTTCTATGCTATGCGGGCGTAGGACGGATCCGCGGATAATCTGACCCTGAGGCTCTAGCATGATTTACCAACCGGGTCGATTGGCACAAACCGCGGGGGGGACAACCTATGAAGGAGCCGGGGGGCTGTGCACGGCGTGGCCCCCTACCAGAGCGAGGGAAGAGCAGGAGCACCGGGACAATCGGGGCGTGAACCTGTACGTTACAACGGGCACGCACCGGACCTAAACGGCGGCTGAGAGTTCGTGACGCCATCGTCGACACGGAGGACAAAGAAGAAAAGGCGCGGAAAAAAATTGAGGAGAGGGCCGAGGTGGACGTAGACTTGCAAGGGAAACGGCGTGTCTTAGCGCGGGAGAGGCAGAAGAAAGGAGTTGCTGTGAGCGGAGCCAACGCCGACGTTGAACGGGTTAGCAACATTGGCGGTAGTGGGTAGTGGGGATCCTAAGGAGACCAGAGCGGACAGACTCTAAAGCGCTCTTTTGCAGCGGTCCGGTACAAGGTGGGGTAGCAACCCGTGGCGCTGGCGGGTGTGGAATCGATCGCCACACGTCAAACTTCATCCGCGGAGATGTTGGTTCCAAGGTACACCGGGAACTCACACCAAGGGACACCGGGCACTCACAGGCGGACGGGACGAGAAAACGCTGGGCCAGGTGCGGAGGGTGAGTTAAGGGGAATGCTTAGCGACGGCGATGTTGGGGCTGTATCCAGATCGTGGGCCGGTCGGGGCTACCAAGAATGGTGGCGTGATGTCGTGGGGTGGGGCGCGTTTGGCTTAGGGGGGGGAGAGGAGAAGACGGAGATTCTTTGGAGGCGGACACCAGCGGCAACTCGGGAAGCCAGGAGGAAGCACCACACCGCGATCTGTACCAGCGCTGGAGGCCAGGCGGTCAGGCATAACTCCCCGACAAGAAAAAAGCGCGGTATCTCGGCGGTGAGGCTGGGGTTGGAGGGGCGGAAACGTCATGGGACTTCCCGATAAAAAAAGAGTGCATCGCCTTGGCCGCGACGTTGGGGTTGGAAAGTATGAATAAGTCGACCAGACTGGAAGCATAGGGGGGGGGGTCTCATTACCGAAGATGCCGACCTCACGCAAGAGCTACAACCGCCGCTCCAGAATCGTTTGGTGATGCTTGGGTTTATCCATGGAGGTAGCTGTTCGAGCGGCCAAGCGGACCGCAGAGGCTGAAGGTTCGGCTGCTGAACGCTGAGGCCACGGAGGCTTTTTGCGGGTGCATTGTGTGAGCACCCCCGTGAAAGGATCTCTGCAAGTCGTTAAGTCAGGACCACTCGCCACGAGCTCCTTCAGCAGAGAGGCCATCGGGGGCACCGTCGCTTTCGCAACCCCTATCGACAGCACTTATCGACACATGTTGTTATCTAGAGCCCTCACGAACAAGACTCAGGGCCAAGTTGTGGGAACCAACATTTTCGCGAGCTGCGGCTGCTTTGGTTCGTGGAGACCATGTCCAGACAGCAGTGGGACGAGCAACTCCCGGAAGCGGTTGTGGATAGGGGGGGCCAGCCGGCACAGCGCTGGCGAACACTCAGGGGACGATTTCCAAGCACTCGGAGCTATGCGCGGATCTTCACCCGCAGCCTGGCGGATTTTTGGAGCCACCAGACTATTTAGTACTTGTCTGCGCAGATGCGGCGCAAAGAGAGGACGGGAGGGCCGTGGTACGCAGGGGCTCTACTGGAGGCGGAGAGGTGCATGACGTCGTGGCACTAGAGCCAAGAGGAGGTTATTTAGCTGCCTACAGGCAGTAAACCGAGCTCCTACAGAGCTACTGGCGAACCTTAGCAGGGAAACCAGGAGGCGGGGAGCGGAGTGTGGAGACGGAAATGTAGGAAAAGCCTGTTATTTTGCTTTGACGTTGTATTGTTCCGGGTATACGTGATGCCTTGATCTATTTCCGCTTTGGGGACTGGTTTGCCCTGGAACAAATTCGACCTGATCGATTTTCCCTAGTCGCACCAATACAAGACACCCACCCACCCTTCCCTCTTATCATCACCCCCCCCCCCCGCCCCCATTCATCAGAAGCAAGGCCGGGAAGCCGTACTCAATAGTGGTGCCGAACACGGAAACGCCGGAGAGGGGCGCCACGCGAAGATGCGGCCTGCCGCAGGCCCACGTTGGGGCGGTGCTGGCTCTCAACGGGGCGCAGACCTCCTATGAGAGCTTCCGCCGCGGCGTGAGAGTAAACCCGGACGGGCCGTGCCTG